TGAGCTGGGTCCCCGGGGAAGCGACAGTGCGAGCAAAGGCCCTGGGGCAGTGGCCGGCCGTCAGCTCCCCTGCAGAGGCGGCTGGAGCGCTGAACCCGGAAGAGAACGGGACCCAGGGGCCCGGAGAGGCGGCCAGGCTGGCGGGCAGGCGGGTCCCAATCAAGGTGAGGACCGTCTCTGGCCTTTGTTTGGAGAGAGGAGTTTGGAGCCGAGAAGCGGCAACACCTGCCGTCCAGGGAGTTTCCCGCGTGATGTTGAGTCAGGAGAGGGGCCGGGGCCGAGGGGGAGGAGGTGGCCCGGAGCTGTGCTGTCCCCGCCACCTCCCCCCTCAGGTCCCCGGACCACGCACAGCAGGGTGGCTGCGGCCGGTGGCTCCGCGGTGGCGATCAGCCTGTGCACCCAGGGGCCGCTGGTTCGGTTCCCGGTCGGGGCGCTGGGACCTGGGACCTGTACGCCCCCCGGACATTGGATCAACGTGGGCTGTTGATCCAGGAGAGATTCCGGAGGCAGCCTGGCCTCCTCCCCCACCCCCCTGCCCACCCCTCCTCCCTCGCTGGGGCAGAGAGAGAACGAAGAACAATGCCAGGTGAATTTTTAACAGCTCGGCCGGCCTGGCCTGGGCTCTGCCTTTAGCTAGATAGAACAACCGAGTTGTTTGCAGGAGCTCCCAGCCTCCTCCGGTGAGCTCCCAGGGTCGCAGGGCCCCTGCCTCACCTGCCCTTTGACCTGGCTGAGAGCACAAAGGGAGGTGCCGAGATGCAAACAGGCGGTCCCGGGTTCGAGTCCCGGGTACAGGGAGCCCGCGCCGACACGGAGCTCGGGCACAGGCTCTGCGAGCTCCCAGCTGGTGTGTTTGCTGTGGGGGAGCCCCGGTGCAGGCAAGAAAAACAAAAACAAGCCCAGCCGGCTGGGGGGCTCAGTGGTGAGCGTCAACCTAGGAACCAGGAGGTCACGGTTCGATTCCCGGTCAGGGCACAGGCCGGGGTGTGGGCTCCATCCCCAGTGGGGGGCGTGCGGGAGGCAGCTGCTCCATGATCCTCTCTGATCATGGATGTTTCTATCTCCCTCTCCCTCTCCCTTCTTCTCTGAAATGGAAAAAAAATATATTTTAAATAGGAAAACAAAGGGTTTTACCCGGAGGTTTGCTCAGTGCCCCTTGAATACGCGAATTGTTTCTTGTTTTCATCTCCCCTCTCACCCCCTGGTGCTGCCTGCATAGATAATCCTCACAACACATCTATTCATCCTACAGGGAGTGTTCAGGGGGACTCCACGCTGGCCAGCAGGCGGGTGGGGGGGGGCGGAGTGAGGGCGTAGGGGCGGCCTCGGGATGGCCACCCGCTCGCTCTCCTTACAAAGCAGAGGTTAGGGATGGAGTCGCTGACAGGTGTTCTCAACTTCCCTTTTTTTAAAAAAATAAATTTTATTATTGATTTCAGAGAGGAAGGAAGAGAGAGAAACATCAATGATGAGAGAGCATCATGGACCAGCCGCCTCCTGCACGCCCCCCACTGGGGTTTGAGCTCACAACCCGGGCCTGTGCCCTGACCGGGAATCGAACCCTGATCTCCTGGTTCCGAGGCCGACGCTCACCACTGAGCCACACGGGCCGGCCCAGCAGATACTCGAACCTCCAAAGGCCTCGCAGGCCCACGGTTGTTTCTGACCGCGGCTCCCTCCCCAGGCGAGGGCGTCGGCTCAGCCGTCCGAGGCCTCAGGGAGGCCCGGTCCAGTTCTGCCGGGGTCAGCGGAAGGCGGTTTCAGGAACTGGGCAGCCCCAGCTCCCGGCTTCTGAGCCCCAGCTCCCCCTGCCCGCCCGTCACCCCGACAGGCCCCCGCGCTCGGCCTTGGGGTCCCTCTCCCGAGCTCGGCTCAGCCCGCAGCCCTGCTCGGGGGGCCGCGACCCCTCGGGGACGGGGGGGGGGGGGGCGGAGGGGGCGGTGAGCAGGAGTTTGGTTTCTAAAGAGGGTTCGATGTTGGCATTTTTAACGTTCGAAGCGGTGTGCCCGTGGGCATCGCTCTGCTCCGTTCACCTGTCATTGGCCGAGCGGAACCTGTTAACATGGCGCCTCGTTGGGGTCGCCCAAGACCGTCGGAAAACACATCTATAATGACATATTGTTTTTGGGATTCATCACTACGCTTTAATGATGTTCCATGTGTAACAATGAGATTGGGGGTCACCACACCGTGAGGAACCGTATTAAAGGGCCGCGTCCGGGGCTCCCTGTCCCCCCGACCCCCGCTGCCACCCCCACATCCCCTGCCCAGCGCAGCCGCCCCGGCCAGGACACCCCCTCTCCTCTGTGCTGCGCGGAACCTCTCCCTCCCTCCCTCCCTCCCTCCCTCCCTCCCTCTGCCCGCAGCTCCTGCAGCCACATCCTCTGCGCAGCCGTTCAAAGGGCCCAGGCGGCCCCTCCCGCCGCCCCGGCAGCAGCTGCGCCCACGCGCGAACACGCCTCTGACTCAAAGCCGAGCTGTGACGCTCAGACAGCCCAGCGTGTGCTCCTGGGGACGGGACAGAAGGTCCAGGAGGCCCAGGCTCCCCGCTGGGAGCCTTCTGTCTGCCTTCACCCCCCCATGACCCCCCACCCCACCCGGGCGGGGCAGGAGCGGGTGGAGCCCTGCTTAGGGGCCCCGATCTGAGATGAAGTCTCACCTGTCAGTTCCTCCCATTCACCAGCCAAGACCCCTCCCCAGAAACTCGGGCTTTATCAGGAGCCTCCACTTCCTCATCTGTGAAATGGGCCCGTCCTGGCCTCTCCCAGGGGCTGCTGGGAAGGCACTCAAGAGGGGTTTGGAGGGGATTCTCGCGGGGCCTGGGGAAGGGGGCCTTTGTTTCAGACCCAACTGCGTGGAGGTCGTCGCTGGGAGCGCTGCTGGGAGGCAGGGTCACGCCCGCTGTCCTAAGGGAACCTTCACGGTCGGGGTTTCCTGGGGAGTCTGAGGAGAATGTTCCTCATGTGCAGTAACAGCTGTGACACACGGGGACGCATCTCACTGGGGTCGGCCTGGGGAGGGGAGGGGAGGGAGGGGAGGTTGGCTAGCCTGTCCGGCCCCCCCCCCCCCCCCCCGTGCTCCTGGCTGCTGAGTGGGTTGCAGAGCCCCAGGCTGCACCCCTCTTTGCAAAGACCCCCTCCCACCCCTACCTCTAGTGGTTTCCATCACCTGTCAGGTTTGGGAGCCACCAGCAGCCCCCCCCCCCCCCTCGGCAAAGCACACTGGGGAGCCCTCCAGGTCTTCGCTTTGCAATGAAAATAATAATAATAAAGTCGTTGACCTGCTTCCCGTAAACAAGGTTTTCGCCATCGCTGGGCCTGTTTATCCCGACCCGACGGCCGCCCTCGCGCCGCAGGGGAGAGAAAAGAAGGTGCGAACTGCAGCGTCCTCACCTCCCAGCCCCACAGGGACTTCCCTGCCTCCCGCCGGGCCATTGAGATGCAGGCCCTTCCGCCGACAGATCCGGTTCTCTCCGGCCTCCGTCCCCGTCCCCACAGGCCTCCCCAGAGATGCTCTGACCCTCGCTGACCTCGCAAACCACCAGCCAGCCGGACCCTGGCGCCGCGCCCTCCCCGCCCGAGGTCCCCCCCCCCCCCCCCAGGGAATGTGCTGAGTCACCAGCCGTGCAGGTCCGCGTTCTGCAGGAGGAGAACTTGAACATCAGCCGGGAGGCGGCCGGGGGCTCGTCACAGACACAGACACCCGGTAACCGTGACCTGCGGAGGTTTGCACGGGGGCCAGAGGCTCCTCCTCACAGGCCGCGGCCCTGCGTCAGGTTAGTGAGTGCTCCTGGGCGACGTTTTATTAACTTTCCTTCTTTAAAAAAATATCCTTATTGACTTCAGAGAGGAATGGAGACGGGGGGGTGGGGTGGGGGGGGGGAACATCCACGGTGAGAGAGGATCACAGATCGGCGGCCTCCCGCACGCCCCGCACTGGGGATCGAGCCCGCCACCCGGGCCTGTGCCCTGACCGGGAACCGAACCCTGACCTCCCGGGTCACAGGTCGACGCTCAGCCACGGAGCCACGCCGGCGGGGCTGAGGTTTTGTTAACCTTCCTGTTCTCGGAAGCGGAAAGGGAACAGAGACGCGGAGGCCGTGGTCGGGGAGGAGGGAGGCCGTGGTCGGGGAGGAGGGAGGCCGTGGGCCCGCGTCACGGTTTCGAAGGTTTGCCCGTTTCAGATTCTCGCACGTGTTCGCTTTTGAAGAAGGAGTCTAACTGTGGGCGGACGAACGGACGGACGGACGGGGCAGTTGTCGCTGTCACTGTTCGCAGGAAGTCTCCTCCCGGGGAAAAGCTGTTTCCGGGGGCTCCCCAAGGGCAGGGGGGTTACAGGGAGAGGCAGTCCGCCCGCGAGGTCGAGGTCAGAGGCTGGAGCGCCCGTGAAGGGGACGTGCCCTCTGCAGCCGGAACCTGGGGCCTCAGCTGGCCGCCCCCCCCCCCCCCCCCCCCCCGCCACCGGGAGGAAGTGGGCGATGTCTGAGGGCCTTTCTCAAGGTGGAAGTGCCCCGTCGAAGCCGAACCGAGGACATTGCCCTGCGCTTCCTCCCGGGGATGGCACGTCCTGGACCAGCCCCTCCGCCCCCAGGGGAGCCAGCACCCCCCCCCCCCCCCCCCCCCGCAGCTTGCAGCTTCCCCCGTGCCCAGGCTCCCTGCCTCCCTCCCTCCTCACCGTCGCCTGGAAAGGACCAGCTTCCGTGTTCAGTGCCTTAAAGAGACTCCCCTGGAACCTCGGGGTGAAGCCATCCCCACAGACGTCCACGTCCAGGCAGCATCGTGACTTCGGTGCCCCCCCTCACCCCCCCCCCCCCGTTTCAGCCCCGGGGGTTGCGCCTCTGAGCTCCCAAGTGCAGCTCCTCCCGGGCTAGTGATGCTAAGGATGGAGGGAGGCCCGCGCAGGGGGGCTGTTGCTGTCTCTCTGGACAGTTCAGGGGGAAGGGGAGGGGGAGGAGGGAGGGGAGGGGGAGGGGAGGGGGAGGGGGAAGGGGGAGGGGGAGAGAGGAGGGCACGGCTGGCAGCCTCCCAGGGGCCCCTGGGACTCGGAGACTCTCCCTCCACTCACTCCTCTGCCCCAGCGGCTCCCTGACCAGCACCCACAGAGGAAGCACGGAGCCTGTGACAAACCTGCCCTTTCTCTCTCCAGGGACGTGGCCCAGTGGCTGGCGACCAGAGACCACACACAGCCCTCACCCTGTCGGCTGGCAGCCCTGGCAGCCTGACCTGCGGGGGGGGCGGGGGGGGCAGCTCCCCTGCCCAGGTGGGTGCTCCCGTCCCCAGGGGGTGAAGGGAGGCGGGTGCCGAAGGGCCTGGGGCTTACGGCCTGGAGGCCAGGGATGAGGGATTTGATCCTTGTGAAGTTCAGAGGGTGCCTTTCCCTCCCAGGGCAGCCCAGGGCGGAGACACCAAGCAAGGTGAGTTTTTTGTTTTTTTTCCCTAATATGTTTTTACTGATTTCAGGGAGGAAGGGAGAGGGAAGAGAGACCCTTCAGTCCGCGGGCCGACACTCTATCCACTGAGCCACACCAGCCAGGGTGCGAGGTGAGTTTTGATCCCCTGTCCCAGATGCCAGCCCGGCAGCAGGAATGGGGACTGTTATTAGCAGGAGAAATCGTATCTTTTTTTATTTTTAAATATGTTTTTATTGATCTCAGAGAGGAAGGGAGCAGGAGAGAGAGAGAGAAACATCCACGATGAGAGAGAATCACGGATCGGCTGCCTCCTGCACGCCCCCCACTAGGGATGGAGCCCGCAACCCGGGCCTGTGCCCTGATCGGGAATCCAACCGTGACCTCCTGGTTCCTAGGTCGACGCTCAACCACTGAGCCACACCGGCCGGGCCGTATCATGCTCCTTATCTCTGTTCCCTAATGTCCCACAAGGGACTAGATACTCCCTTTGCTTTGACATGGAGGCTCAGGGGATGGAGCCGGCCTGGGTGGTCCGCGAGCAGGAGGCCCCAAGGATGGATGCTCCCAGGGGCCTGGCTGGACCTGAGGCTGGTCCCCTGCTCCCGGCTGCCCGGTCTGGACCCTCGCGGCATCGCCTCAGCCTGGCCCTGGGCCTGGTGCCTCCTCCCGGCGACCGTCCCTTTGTTCCGCCTGCGGGGCCTTCAGTGTGCGTCCTGCATTGTCCTGGCTCATTCATATGCTGCCGCTGCCACCGCGGTCCGAGCCTTTGTGTGCGTGACGTTAGCGCCTCGGCGGCTGGGGGCCGGGGCTGCCTTCTGTTCACCCGCGGGGACTGGGCTCCCCTGTTGGACTCCCACGGAGCGCTTTCCGGAAAGGTGGTTTTGTCTTTTCTTTTTTTATTTATATGTTAATCTTCACCGGAGATTTTTAGGGAGAGGGGAAGAGAGAGGGAGAGACGGAGAGAAACATCGATGTGAGAGAGACACATGGACGGGTTGCCTCCTGCACACGCCCTGACCAGGGCCCGGGCCGGGGAGGAGCCTGCATCCGAGGTATGTGCCCTTGACCGGAATTGAACCCGGGACCCTTCGGTCCGCAGGCCGATGCTCTGTCCACTGAGCCACACTGGCCAGGGCAGGAATATTTTTTTGAATTGGTTGAAGTGTTAACTGTAAGTCATTAAAGATCTCCGACCACCGAACCTCACCGGCCTAGCATCAGTCTCATTTTTTAAAAAATATATTTTTATTGATGTCAGAGAGGAAGGGAGAGGGAGAGAGAGAGAGAAACATCCATGATGAGAGAGAACCATGGATCGGCCGCCTCCTGCACGCCCCCCACGGGGGATCGAGCCCGCAACCCAGGCCTGTGCCCTGACCGGGAATCGAACCCTGACCTCCTGGTTCCTAGGTGGATGCTCAACCCCTGAGCCCCGCCGGCCGGGCTGCTGGGCGTTATTTGCAGGGTCCCACCGGCCCCCGGTGAGGGGCTATGCGTTGTCGACAGACGACGTTCGGGTCGGCCAGGGGTCCCTTCCACAAAACCCCTGGGAGGGCAGGGCCCTGCCCGAGGCCCCCCCCCCCCCCGAAAGTCCCTTCCTCCTTCGCACGACCACCCTTCTAGAGGGTCACGCAGCTTTAATCCCAGCGGACTTGTCTGCTGGCATTAAACTGTCCAGCCGGTATTTATATCCGCGCCCGCCCCGCAGGGTCACCTGACCCCGGCCGCCGTGTACAAGTAGTTAATGACAGCGCCCGGCCGCCCGCCCCGTGAGTGATCGCCGAGCGCGCCCGGCCTGTCACGGTTTATGGAGGGAGGCCGTCTGTCCGCCGGCCGCCTCGCCCTCAGCAGGTAATTTGAAATGGGATGAGACAGCGCCTACCGGCAGATGGATGGGGGAGTCCGGCCCGTTCTTCCCTTTGACCCTTGACAAGTTGACACCGCCAAGATTGTGACTTTAAAAAATGATGGGGTGCAAACGTGCTTAGGGGGGTGATTTACCGGGGCCGGGGCCAGGGCAGGGCCTGGAGCGAGGCTGGGAGGCAGGGTGGGGGGGCTGTCAGCATCCAGCGTGCAGGGGTGCGGTCCCCGTCTCCCAGGGATGATCCTACTGGGAGGGGGGAAGGGGGCGGGGGAGAGGGGGGCCGGGGAGAGAGAGGGGGTTTGCTAACAGCCCCCGTCAGGCAGCGTCTGTCCTGGTGAGGGATGGGAGGCCCAGTCCCAAGGTGAAGGGAGACAGAGCTGATGACACACTTACTAAAAGGTACTGATCCGAGTGGCTGTGTTTGGCCTAAAACCACAGCCTGTGTGTGAGGATAAGAAGTTGAGTTCGTGAAAGATTTAAGAAAGGAAGGAAGGGAGGGAGGGAGGGAGGGAGGGAGGAAGGAAGGGGAAAGAAGAAATTGAGTTTGCATTCGTAGGTTTCCTTTTTTAAAAAAAAATATTTTTTATTGATTTCAGAGAGGAAGAGAGAGAGATGGAAATATCAATGATGACAGAGGATTATGGATCGGCTGCCTCCTGCACGCCCCACACTGGGGATGGAGCCCGCAACCCGGGCCTGTGCCCCGACTGGGAATCGAACCGTGATCTACTATTCATAGGTTGACGCGCAACCACGGAGCCACGCCGGCCGGGCTCACCTTCTTCCTGGTGTTCTTGGATTTTTGGTAAATCCGGTCGGTCACCCACAGGAGGAAGCTGTGATGAGAAGGATGATAGGTTTGAATCGAGACCAGAAGGGGAAACCCCGCGTCCGTGAGAACAAATGCGTGTGGGTTTTTTTTTTTTTCTGTTTCTTTATAATCACGTGTCGATTTTCACACCACACGTTACAGGTCAGAGTTCAACAAGTATTTCCCAGATTATCTTTTTAAAAAAATATATTTTTATTGCTTTCAGAGAGAAAGGCAGAGGCAGGGAGAGAGTTAGAAACAGCAAGGATGAGAGAGAACCATGGACCGGCTGCCTCCTGCACGCCCCACACTGAGGATGGAGCCTGCAACCCGGGCCTGTGCCCCGACCGGGATTCGAACCTGGTTCATGGATCGATGCTCAACCACTGAGCCACGCCGGGCGGCCGGGCTCCCATATTATCTTCACTCGGCTCTTCCGATGGCCCCTCTCCCTCCCACGTGAAGCTGTGTCAGAATAGAGGCTCCCACGCAGCATTGAAACGTCCCAGACAGCACTAAGGACAGCCGGAGGTTCTTTCCAACAAAGCGGCGATCCCCGCCCACAATGACCCCTAGGTCCCTCGACATCCTTGGAAGGGATGGTGGCCGGTAGGAGTGCTGACTTAGCAGCACTCAGAAGGGCCTCAGAGGGCCCACGCGCCCCATTCAGCCCCGGCCGGTCCCCTCAGCGTGTGTATGTGCATGTGTGTATGCGCGCGCACACGTGTGTATGCGCGCGCACATGTGTATTTGTGTGTGTATGTGCACGTGCATGTGTATTTACGTGTGTACATGTGTACGTGCAGTGGGCGGTTTTACATATATGTGCATGCACATATGTGCATGTGTGTGCATGCGTGTGCACGTGTGCGTGTGTTTTCCTCTGTTCTAACCACTTGGTTTGAAAGATGCTTTGGAGGTGGCTCCCGAGACGCGTGAGGAGCCCCCCGCGGGCCTCCCTGCCGGCTGTTTACTGCGCCCGGGAGCCATCTCTTCATTGAGCCCCGCGCGCAGGACGCCGCGGGATGCTTCTTTATGGGGCCGTCCGGTTCCATCGCCGGGGCCGTTTAATAAGCCCGGCGGGCGGGCGGCTGACCCCGGCGCCCGGCGCGGGGCGACGCCGTGCGAGATTGCTTTGTGACATAAAGCTGTCGGTAACATCAACAAAATAAAAAACGATCGTCTTCCAATACTGGCGGCGGCCGCCCGCGACAGCGCTGAAATACGGGCTCAAATGGAAAGGAGATTAGTTTTGGGCCTTAAGTCATGGGTTGACAAGACATAGGAGAGGAGAACCTATCTTTGAACTTTTTAAAAGTTTTTTAATGAAAATATTTATCATGGGGCAAGGTTCCCCCCTCTCCTCTCTCTCTCTCTCTCTCTCATTCTCATTCTCCTCCCTCCCTCCCTCCCTCTCTCTCCATCCCATCTGAGCGGCAATAACCTTAAAACAATCCCCTTTATGTTATGGGGGAGAATACAAATACTGGGCTATCTTTGTATTAAATACCCCGGAGGCGACTTGGCCGGTGTGAGCGGGCCCAGCACACGTGTGTGTGTGTGTGTGTGTGTGTGTGTGTGTGTGTACGCGTGTTCAGGAGGCTCCACGCGATGTGAACGCGTGCTGAAGGGGCCGGGGAATGGGTGGTTAACAGGCTCCATACTTCTCACGTATGTGAAGCGTGTGTGTGCGGGGTCCGGCTGGCGGCCCGAGCTGGGTCCCTCGCTCGCCCTCTGCCCGCGTGGTTGGCAGCCGGAGGGAGGAGCCCAGGCCTCTGGGAGCAGCCGATCGCTTGGGGCTGAGAGGAGTGAGGAATGTGGATGGGGAGGGCCCCCTGGGCGCTGTGGTTGCATATTAACCGGATGAGCCCCTGACTCACCCGCGGCCTGGACCGTCAGCAGAGGTGCCGGCCGGCTGGGCAGTGACCAGGCCTCCAGGAATCCACAAACATCCTGTGTCGTCCGGCCGGCCGAGCGGGAACTCTGGCCCAGGCGTAGCTCACTCTCCTGCTTCCCAAGCGCCCGTGGCCCAGGGAGGGGCAGGCGGGGCGGGCGGGGCTTGCCTCCCTCCCAGGAACTTGCCTTCTGGTCACCTTCTTCCCCTTAGAGCAGGGGACACCCGGTCCTGGCCCCGGGCCCCAGATCAGGGCCTGGCTGGTGGCATCGAGTCTGTAACTCCAGAGTCTTAAAAAGAAAAAAAAAAAAGAAAGAAAAACCTAAAATGGACTTTCCCCCCCAATCACTGCGAGTCACATGGCTGCCTCGGCCCAGCCGTGGCCAGACACCCAGGGATGCCGGTTTTAGGCACGAAAAGGCCAGTCCCGTCGACCTGAATCTTACACTTCCCAGAGTCAGATGTTGGAAAGGTGAGGATTATATTGGCTAAAAGTTCTGGAAAAAGAAAAAAAAGGAAGTTTTGATAAGGTTTCCAGCAATCTTTTCTGTGTTATTTCTTTTAAATACGTTTTTATTGATTTCAGAGAGGAAGGGAGAGAGAGAAACTTCAATGACGAGAGAGTCATTGATCGGCTGCCTCCTGCACGCCCCCTACAGGGGATCCAGCCCGCAACCCGGGCATGTGCCCTTGGCCGGAATTGAACCCGGGACCCTTCAGTCCGCAGGCCGACATTCTATCCACTGAGCTACACCGGCCAGGGCAGAAAAAGGACTTTTTTTTTTTTTTTTTTAAATATGTTTCTATTGGTTTTAGAGAGAGAGGAAGGGAGAGGGAGTGAAACATCGATCCATTGACATGAGCCCTGACCGGGACTCGAACCTTGACCTCCCGGTTTTTAGGTCGATGCTCTACCACTGAGCCACACCGGGCCGGCCCCAAAGCGGCGTCTGGCACGCACGTGTGCGTTTTATTCCGTGAGCAGCAACACTCCACGTGTACGAACAAGCGCATTTCAGCTCGTCCCGCGGAACACGGCCGTGACTAAAGAGCGGCCGGCTCCGCGCGGAGTGTAATTGCTTCGACAATGTCGCCGCGGGTGCGGACGGGCTGGCCCGAGCCGCCATTAATTCCTGGAGTAATGACCCCGGGGAATGCAGCTCTCCTGATGGAGAGGGCACTCAGGCATCCCACCCGAGGCCCCCGTCCTGCGCGTTTGTAATCCCACGCCGTGGCCGCCTGTCCTGGCCGGTGTTTATTCTGCCGATAAAACGTCGGTGTGGGGAAGCCACGCAGGGCGGGCCTCCTCCACGGCCACCAGGTCTCCTGGTCCAGCTGTCGGGGGTTCTGTTCAAATGCTGCGAGCTAGGCCCTGGCCGGTGTGGCTCAGTGGATAGAGCGTCGGCCTGCAGACTGAAGGGTCCTGGGTTCGATTCCCCGTCAGGGCCACAGGCCCGGGTTGCCGGCTCGATCCCCAGTGAGGGGCGTGCAGGAGGCAGCCGGTCCATGGTTCACTCTCATCATGGATGTTCTTGTCTCTCTCCTCCTCGCTTCCTCTCTGAAATCAATAAAAATATATTTTTAAAAAATGCTGTGAGCTGGGGAGGCCCCCCCAGCCCCATGAGACAAGGAGGATTTATCTTTCAAGGTAGAATCTGGCCTGTTGAGGGACTACGTGCTCCGGGAGGGTTATCAGAGCCCCCGGAACTCACATACGGGGAGGACATAGGCAGATGGGGACCCCCTCGACCTGGGCAGCTGGGGGGTCAGGCTGTCAGGCCGGCGGTGACAGCGGCTCCCTCCTGCATCCACGGCAGGTCCCCGGGGACCCACGGAGGAAGCCTGTGCCATCCCAGGCGTAACCGGGCTAGCACCAGGCCACACGGACAGCTGCAGGGCCCGGGCACTGACGGACGGGGCCAATCGATAGCTCTTTAGGTGTCTGCCAATCACGCCATTAGTGAGGAGGACGGGACGGATTAGTTCCAGCAGCTCCTCGGAGGCTGGGAGGACGGAGTGGGGGGCCGCCAGCCCCTGTCCTGGGGGAGGGCGGGGGAGGGGGAGCCCTCAGATCTCAGCAGCCTGGCCTGCGGGAATGTGGGCAGAGACCAACAGGCCACGTGCACCGGACCGCGCCATCTGCCCCAACTCAGACGCCAACAGAGGTGGCGGTGCATAAGGCAGCATTCCCCCCAGAGCCTTTCCCATGGGTTCACTTTTTTGGGGAAGAAAAAAAATTATGATTTCAGAGAGGAAGGGAGAGGGAGAGAGGAACATCCATGATGAGAGAGACTCATGGATCGGCTGCCTCCTGCACGCCCCGCACTGGGGATGGAGCCCGCAACCCAGGCGTGTGCCCTGAGCGGGAATCGAACCCTGACCTCCTGGGTCATAGGTCGACACCCGCCGGGCAGGAGAAGCGGTTTTTTGGACCCTAACCAGCAGGAGGGCTGTCCTGGCCTCTCCTGGGGTGTATTTCCTTGGGAGGCCAACAGGTGGCAACCTAGACACCTGCCTGGAGCCGCCCCGGCTCCTGACCCCAGAGCTCTTCCAGGGGGATGTGGGGATCTGAGGCCGTGGGACCCCAGTCCCCAGCTTGGGCTGGCGTAGCTGCGCATGTGTGTGTCCCGTCAAACCCCCGCACGGCGTCTCTGGAGGAGGACGGCGAAGCTGAGTGAGCAGTTGTGGCTGTAAGGCCCCACCCATGGAAAGACGACATTTGCTAAATGCACTTAAAATATATATATATATATTGTTGTTGTTGTTGATTTCAGAGAGGAACGGAGAGAGAAGCATCCATGATGAGAGAGAATCATGGATCGGCCGCCTCCTGCATGCCCCCCATGGGGGATCGAGCCCGCAACCCAGGCATGTGCCCTGAGCGGGAATCGAACCAGTGACCTCCTGGTTCATAGGTTGACGCTCAACCACTGGGCCACGTCGGCCCAGCTAAATGCACTTTTTTGTTTGTTTGTTTGTTTAGGGCCGTGGTTCTCAAACCTTCCTAACGCCGCGACCCTTTCATACAGTTCCTCATGTTGTGTGGTGACCCCCAACCATAGAATTATTTTCGTGGCTACTTCATCACTGTCATGCTGCCACTGTTATGAATCGTCATGTAAATATCTGACAGGCAGGATGTATTTTCATTGTTACAAATGGAACATCATTAAAGCACAGTGATCAATCACAAAAACAATATGTAATTATAGATGTGTTTTTCTGATGGTCTTGGGCGACCCCTGTGAAAGGGTCGTTCGACCCCCAAAGGGGTCGCGACCCACAGGTTGAGAACCGCTGGCGTAGGGAGTTGAGCACCATCCCCCCAGAGCACGGAGTGTGGCCACCGGCTGCATCGAAAGCGCTTCCTGCTCTGAAATCCAACCCATTTTGCGTTGCGACCGGGTGTCGCCGT